GCAGAGTAAATCCCTTTATTATGTAAGGATCTCGTCGCTGTACCTTCCAGTCCCAGATTCATGTCCGCAGGGTTCAGATGACACCAGAGTTAGCTTTAAGGGACGGCTGGAGTTGTGATAAATGTCCTGGTCAGAGATGGACATACAGACAGATACCTTACTGACATTATTTTTCTATTCAAACGTTGATGCAACCGGAGCGAGAAGCGGTTTTACGTGTTCATTAGAGCGTAACATGAACTGGCTTGGAATAAAACGGTAGGGCTGAAGTTTGGCTAGCTCGGCAGTATAGGCATCAATATGAAAACACACGCACGCTCGCACGCACGCACGCACGCACGCACGCACGCACGCACGCACGCACGCACGCACGCACGCACGCACGCACACACACACACACACGCGGAGATCACTTTCAGCGAGGATGCCTTTGCAGGTGCCCGTCTAACAGAATCATTCGCTTGATCGTAAACCACAGGCGTGTTTGCAGCTGTAGGTGTTGTCAACAGCGACTGCAGGCAGTTTGTTCTTAATGGTCAGTTAACTGTTTTTTATACAAATACATTGACCATGTGTGTTACGTTCATAGAACCAGTGAATAGTTCAAGCAGGGAGACTATATATTGTAGATTATCCGTATATATGGTCTCTGGTTCAAGGCACAAACGCAAACTGCATCACGTGATCAAGAATGAATACGTAAGGGTTTTTCCAGGCGGTAAAACCCCATCTAAAAATAGCTATGTTGTCGTCGTGGAATTCATTTGGTAATCAGACAGCGAGCGAAGTAATACGTTCAGAAAGGTACGTACGCTTTATTTTCATCAACTACTTACATATACCCGGTATGTCTGTGGACGGTGTGTTCAGTAAAGGGATTTTTGTCATATCGACTCTACAACCTTAACACGCATGCGCAAAGCTGATGTAAACAAACACAGGTAACACTTATTTTGCAGCCAGCTAGAACAATCAGTTACTCATTACAATATACAAAATACTATATGATGTTCAAGTTTAGGTGACAAACATGAACTTGCACCCAAACTTGAATAGAAGACGTGTTTGCATCAACTCTCAGCGCTGTATTGACGAAGGGAGGGCTGCCAGGTGTATATATTTACTTGATGACAGACGGAGAACGCTGTCTGTAATGAAGTTTTTGTCTACACCTGAGTCCATAATGAAGGTGTTTTGTGCATTTTTAGTCTATCTTCAAGTGTATACAACCTCGGTCGAGAGTTCAGTGACGCCGTATTATCAAGGAGGAAGTAGAACTAGTTTTTCCCAACTCACGGCCAAGGAAGTATTAGTTAACAACATGAACAATGACAGTTAGAAATAGTACCTGGTCATCCCGATAGTCAGATTACCACACAGAGTATCTCCCAGGGCGTATTGAATGTCACCCCCCACTGCAGACTAACATGCATGACAGATACTGCTTGTGCCCTCTGGCTTGATAGATGGAATATGTCAGGTGTATCAATAACAGATCGATAGTATGCACAGGCAGCCACGTACATGAGTAGCCTGCAGAGTTGTCTCCCTTAGGTACGTGCACTTGACACTATGTCTGTGTTACGGGTCACTATGTCTGTGTTACGGGTCACTATGTCTGTGTTACGGGTCACTATGTCACTGTTACGGGTCACTATGTCTGTGTTACGGGTCACTATGTCTGTGTTACGGGTCACTATGTCTGTGTTACGGGTCACTATGTCAGTGTTACGGGTCACTATGTCTGTGTTACGGGTCACTATGTCTGTGTTACGGGTCACTATGTCTGTGTTACGGGTCACTATGTCTGTGTTATGGGTCACTATGTCTGTGTTACGGGTCACTATGTCAGTGTTACGGGTCACTATGTCTGTGTTACGGGTCACTATGTCTGTGTTACGGGTCACTATGTCTGTGTTACGGGTCACTATGTCTGTGTTACGGGTCACTATGTCTATGTTACCAGGGCCGTAGTTAACTTTTCTTACTAAGGGGGAGCACTATCAATGTTAAAAGAGTGTTAAATCAATATTTTGATGCATAAAAAGTAATCTGTAAAATGTAGGGAGGCACATGAGTACAATGTGTGAAGCCCATTTCTGGTGACCCCCACCGTTATATTGCTGGAATATTGCTAAAAGCGGCGTAAAACCATACTCACTCACTCACTCACTCTGTACTGAGTCAGCCAGGAAGCAGGAAGGATATGGTCATCGTGGCATTGAATCCCTGAATCATGCAGCTGACTGTTACCTGCCTCGTCATTGCATCCTGCAGTCAATATGACTCAGTTATCGATCTGTTAAATCATTTAATTAAGCTGTCACACTCCCTTCAGTGTAAAGGTGTGGGTATATTGTCCTTGTAACTTCCAACACGTCTTACAGATTCATACACATGTGGAGATCCGTACACATACAGTACACCATATCTAACGTCGGGTTAAGATCCGTACACATACAGTACACCAGATCTAACGTCGGGTTAAGATCCGTACACATACAGTACACCATACCTAACGTCGGGTCAAGATCCGTACACACACAGTGCACCATATCTAACGTCGGGTTAAGATCCGTACACATACAGTACACCATACCTAACGTCGGGTTAAGATCCGTACACATACAGTGCACCATATCTAACGTCGGGTTAAGATCCGTACACATACAGTGCACCATATCTAACGTCGGGTTAAGATCCGTACACATACAGTGCACCATATCTAACGTCGGGTCAAGATCCGTACACATACAGTGCACCATATCTAACGTCGGGTTAAGATCCGTACACATACAGTGCACCATATCTAACGTCGGGTTAAGATCCGTACACATACAGTGCACCATATCTAACGTCGGGTCAAGATCCGTACACATACAGTACACCATATCTAACGTCGGGTTAAGATCCGTACACATACAATACACCATATCTAACGTCGGGTTAAGATCTGAACACATACAGTACACCATATCTAACGTCGGGTTAAGATTCGTCACGGATCTCCTCACTGTGGCGGAGTCGGCAGGACGCAGGAGGTTTGTTTGTTGTGATTGTTTGTTGTTTTATGCCGCACTCAGCAATATTCCAGCTATATGGCGTCGGTCTGTTCATAATAGAGTCTGGACGAGACAATCCAGTGATCAACATCATAAGCATCAGTCTACGCAGTTGGGATACGATGACATGTGTCAACCAAGTCGGGGAGAATAACCACTCGATGCCGTTAGTCACCTCTTACGACAAGCATGGGTTACTGTAGACCAAATCTAACCCGGATGTTCACAGGCTGGACGTATGAGGTCATGGATTGAATTCCAGGTGTAGATATGTAAGTAGTCCCTTATCAGTGCTACTGCACTCCCGTTCTTTGGTCGAGTGTCGAGTTTTGGCGTCTTGGAGAGTACAGCCTGTATCCTGCACGTAACCTGTGAACATTTACCTCACCAGCCCTTACTTAACCCGAATCACTGGTAGAAGGCACTTTCTACACACATGGTGACAATAGTTTCTGAAATGTCATCGAGTGAACCGGATGAAAGCGAGAAATCTGCACTGACGAGACAGACAGTCCACTCAGCTGCAAAGTGTCGTCAACTGAGACGCATGTATACACATACGGGAAGCCCGACTTGGATGAGGACGAGGTTAAACGTCACGTGACAGAATATTGCCCGAGTGAGTGAGTTTAGTGTTTCGGCGCACTCAGCACTATTCCAGCTATATGGCAGCGGTCTGTAGATAATCGAGTTTGGACGAGACAATCCAGTGATCGACATCATGAGCATAGGTGTACGCAATTGGGATACGATGACATGTGCCAACCAGTTCGGGGAGAATGACTAAACCCGTTAGTCGCCTCTAACGACAAGCATGGGTTACTGAAGTTCATTGCTAACCCGGATATCTTCACGGGTCATAAGTCACGACCTGTAGACTGGCGGCGGTCTGTCCATACGTGCAATATGCCGCTCTAACGGGATGTTATGATAGGCATGGTAGTAATATCACAACTTGAACACATGTGACAAGCGTTCCTTTGTGTACCATGACATAAGCTTTAACAATTAGCGACTGTAACACTCTGTACGAGGGATAGATAAAACCTCTTCCTGCTCCACGTGTGACAGGGATGGCGGATATCGCGCTGTACGACACGACGCAGAACTACACCAGGATCTGTAACGTTAGAAAATCCCCTAAAACATCCTGGCATACAATTACAGCGTATGACCAAATAGCATGTCCATTGGAAAACACAGGCTCTACAAACACGCGCGCACGCACACACACGCTCTACACACACGCTCTACGCACACAGGATCTACACACTACATAAGGAGATAGAGAGATCTGGGGAGATAGACAGAGAGATAGGGAGATAGTGAGAGCGGAGAGAGAGAGAGATAGGGAGATAGTGAGAGTGCACAATACTGACATGGGAAACCCTGTCTATTTATAGCTGTGACGGCATTGTGCTTCCCAGTGACGTGATCGACCTGCTTGTTGACACTTGCAAGCACACGTGACCATTTTTTGCAACATTTGTTTATTACACAAAGCTCTACAAACTTCCTTATTGAAGTAGGATGAAAATATCCCGGGTTATTCTTCTGGGAGTTGAAATAGACAGCGGCCACAACCACTTACACATCATGGATCAACAATTCACAGATTCATGGATTATTTCTTTTTTATATGTATTTGCAACAATTTTTTCATATAATAGTTGATATAATGTCATGAATCAAGTATGGAAAGAGATAAAAAGTAAATGAATTCCTTCCAAGGTTAGAGAGGCCATGCTGGCATCAGGGTATTGTATCTAAACACTTTTAGTAAACCATCCAAGGTGGTCGTGTTGTTAGATACACCTGACAACGTTGTTGGTCTGCAGACCACACATGGAACGATGAAGTGACATCACACTAAATATTTTCATCGCAATGCAACAGTATACATGTATACGTGGTGATCATTTAGTCGATAAAACGCACGTGATTCCACGCATGTCAAATGACCTTTCATATCACGTGGTACTCACAGTATATATGATGTCAGAAGTATCCCCAGTGTCGTGTCCATGGTGAGTGAGTGAGTATGATTTTACGTGTTTCTTTTGATCAATATTCTAGCATTTTCGCAGAGGGGGAACACATGGAATGACCTGCCCGCGTTTTATCCATGGGGGAACAGAACCCGGATCTTCGAGGTGACGGTTTAACCACGAGGTTGCCACACTGACATGGTGCCAACATGGAGTCTTCTAGAAATTGGTTTTGTTCTGAAATGAAAGCAAAAGTAGCAACTACAGTCGAAACTGAAAGTGGGTTAATTTCAGGGAACATTAATGACTGGCCTTTCAGGCTTCTCCTATAAATTACTTTCAACGGTTAGTTTTTGAAACACCTAAAGTAGAGTTCAAGCACATGCTCTGAGAGAAAATGCCACTTCTGTGAAAACAATGGCGGGGTGATGTGTCACAGGGCGTTTCAGCTTCGTTGTACAGGCGACTTTCAAGTCCATACATTCCCCAAATAGTCCCGTACATGGGGAGACTTGCCTCCGTTGGGCGAGTAAACTATTCCTATATACTGACACATTGTACACCGTTACTGTCTGAAGTCTATTATGTTCGTTTCTTTGTATGTCTATTTACATATTCACCGTGGTTCAGATATCCGGAAATTCGTTTATCCGGACAATTTCAAGAAAACCACAAGTGTTCGGATAAACGGGGCACGACTGTACATATAATTCTAGACTCGGTTATCTTAATCTGAAGCACTATCACACTTCTATTTTAAGCGATTATCAACCTTTTGTCCTGTGTAAGTTTGTGGTGTTTCAGTACACCAGAAGGGTATGGGTTAGGGTTAGGGTAAGTTTGTGGTGTTTCAGTACACCAGAAGGGTATGGGTTAGGGTTAGGGTAAGTTTGTGGTGTTTCAGTACACCAGAAGGGTATGGGTTAGGGTAAGTCTGTGGTGTTTCAGTACACCAGAAGGGTATGGGTTAGGGTAAGTCTGTGGTGTTTCAGTACACCAGAAGGGTATGGGTTAGGGTAAGTTTGTGGTGTTTCAGTACACCAGAAGGGTATGGGTTAGGGTTAGGGTAAGTTTGTGGTGTTTCAGTACACCAGAAGGGTATGGGCGTTGCCATGAACAGCGCCCTTTCCTTCCGTTACGACTGGTCAGTATTCAAAGAGTTTGAATTCCTGATTTGTTCCGAATAAGACCCTCGTTCTGAAAACAGCCGTCTTGTTAGTTGTAAAACGTTCCGGCTGAACCACATCGACAGTCCTCCCGCATGATGCTGGCATGTGATATAAATGAGGCTTTAAACCTCACTCACTCACTCGCTCACACACACACACCCTCACTCACTCACTCACTCTGGCAAACGGTTACTGTCGCGGACTGAAGTATAGAGTGACCACTGCAATCTCACTGACCAGTGACTGGATGGTCAGCAATGTGTAAAGTGTGATGAATCTGTACTTTTCAGACAATATGACCATGGTGCCAGAGCTAAAGTAACAAGTCTTGCGGTGCCTAGAGCATCTGTCAAGACTAGTCTCCTCTACAAGTTGAGGAGGTGCAGTAGATGCTGCTGAGGATCAACGACCTCCTGACATGCGTGAACACCACGCTGCGACTACTACGACTGTATACAATGCTGCGAATCACGGAGGGCTCTTTTGGCCGAACCACGAGCCATATCTTCTTCACTAAAAATAAAATCGGCACGGGAGCCTCGAGCGACGTTTTCATCGGCGTTGAAAAAGTAAGATTTTCAGGCTTGTATATAAATGTACTTCCAGCGTACTTGAGTCAATTTTGTAAAATACAATCGAAAAGTTTTCGTACCAGTTAGAGCTGATGCATTATTTTTTTCAAATAAGTGTACCTTGAATCCATAACACTACACTGAATACAATAACCATTCACTGCATCAGATGACTGACAACAGAGGACAACATAAAAAAATATAATATAATTAAATTATTTTTTATGACAAAATATTTTCATGACTCACACATTTAGAAAATGATCCCCAAAACAGTTTCTAATAGTCATCATGACCTCTGTTTCCAAGTGTACGTAAATCCCTGTTTGTCTGTGTGGACATTGTGCCGTGGATATCGATGGGTACTAGAAGGTGTCTAACACCAGGTGTCATGCTTTGTGTCACTCATGTTGACTCCGTCAGTATACGTGCTGCTGTCTTTGAAAGGCGACAGGCGACACTCACGCCCTGAAGATCTTCAAGGATGCCCAGTGGAGCAACTCTCAAGAAAACATTCGAGAAGTTGAAGCTTTGACGAAAATGTCCCATCGAAACATTGTGGGGTATTTTAGACGAGAAGAGGAGGTGAGTACTTCCCAAATTTGTGCAACAAATTGTCAGTTGGATGACGTGGAACATGTAGTCCTTGTAGAAATATGACACTGTCTTAAGTCTGGACTGGGTTTACACAATAACTTAATCAAATTTTAGAGGAAAGTTCTTTTAAGGAAGGGCGGTAACCCTTTTATCTTCTACAACAAACAATTTCTAAATGTGTCATTGCAATTTGGAGACGCCTGAAAATATTGAACATTATCTAATTACATGCAAGTAATGTACTTGAGGTTGATGATATGTTTTCTTTAGAAACAGTTTTGGGTCCCAATATCATGTATGGGTCCGTGCAACGGGCAGTTTTAGATTTTGTCTCGTCATCTGGAAAATATGATGTAATCGAGACAGGCTCTCGAATGGCTTAGACAGATTTAGTTCTGTGATTTTAAATCATTTTAACACTCTGCCATATTAACCTACTGCTTTTTTAATGACTGAGTATTTGATGTTTCAGAAATGGAAGTGATTACTTAAGGTTTTTAATCCGTAAGACGAAGCAGAGGTTATTCGATCTAAATTTTAGAAATGTATACATCTATTCAAATGAATATTAATAGTGCTGTCATTTCTGTTTTGTTATCTAAACGATTCCTTTTGGCCATGTAATAACCTGTGATTTATATTAAGTCAAATTAATGTGTTGGGGGCAAATAGGCCTCTTACTGGCCCACGTCGCCCTAAAACTATAAAACCAACCAAACAACCAACCAACCACCCAACAACAAACAATTCAGGGTCGGGAATCTTGGTATATTATATACTTAGAAACGCACCTTTATAAAACATAGATTTTATTGCTGATCCTGCACTTACATGAAAGAATTCCGAAAACCCATTCACTGATATTGGGACCTGGTTCTGTGTTTGTGGATGAAACAATGTTGAAGGTTGTCCATGTGTTTTCAATGTGACCTATGTTTGGCTAGTACGGCACCGGTAAAAGTGTTCTGGTGATGGAGTACTGCTCGGGGGGAAGCCTGCACTCCTTTCTCCAACAGCCAGAGTATATGAATGGCCTTGATGACAAACAGTTCCTCATCTTTCTAAACGATACGTGTAAGTAGCATTCGCTTTGTTTAGGCTGCTGCTGCTGCTGCTGTGTCTATATCGCCATTAGGAACCGCGAGAAGGATCGGTTTGACTAGTTGTACTGTGACGGTGTGGTGATGACTCTGTTGACTAGTTGTACTGTGACGGTGTGGTGATGACTCTGTTGACTAGTTGTACTGTGACGGTGTGGTGATGACTCTCTTGACAAGTTGTACTGTGACGGTGTGGTGATGACTCTCTTGACAAGTTGTACTGTGACGGTGTGGTGATGACTGTTGACAAGTTGTACTGTGACGGTGTAGTGATGACTGTTGACAAGTTGTACCGTGACGGTGTAATGATGACTCTGTTGTCAAGTTGGACCGTGACGATGTAGTGATGACTCTGTTGACAAGTTGTACCGTGACGGTGTGGTGATGACTCTGTTGACAAGTTGTACCGTGACGGTGTGGTGATGACTCTCTTGACAAGTTGTACCGTGACGGTGTGGTGATGACTCTGTTGACAAGTTGTACCGTGACGGTGTGGTGATGACTCTGTTGACAAGTTGTACCGTGACGGTGTAGTGATGACTCTGTTGACAAGTTGTACCGTGACGGTTTAGTGATGACTCTGTTGTCAAGTTGTACTGTGACGGTGTAGTGATGACTCTGTTGACAAGTTGTACCATGACGGTGTAGTGATGACTCTGTTGTCAAGTTGTACCATGACGGTGTAGTGATGACTCTGTTGTCAAGTTGTACCATGACGGTGTAGTGATGACTCTGTTGTCAAGTTGTACCGTGACGGTGTAGTGATGACTGTTGACAAGTTGTACCGTGACTCTGTTGACAAGTTGTAGTGATGACTCTGTTGACAAGTTGTACCGTGACGGTGTAGTGATGACTCTGTTGTCAAGTTGTACCGTGACGGTGTAGTGATGACTCTGTTGTCAAGTTGTACCGTGACGGTGTAGTGATGACTCTGTTGACAAGTTGTACCGTGACGGTGTAGTGATGACTCTGTTGACAAGTTGTACCGTGACGGTGTGTGATGACAACTGATTGACCGTGACGGTGTAGTGATGACTCTGTTGACAAGTTGTACCGTGACGGTGTAGTGATGACTCTGTTGACAAGTTGTGATGACCGTGACGGTGTAGTGATGACTCTGTTGACAAGTTGTACCGTGACGGTGTAGTGATGACTCTGTTGACAAGTTGTACCGTGACGGTGTAGTGATGACTCTGTTGACAAGTTGTACCGTGACGGTGTAGTGATGACTCTGTTGTCAAGTTGTACTGTGACGGTGTAGTGATGACTCTGTTGACAAGTTGTACTGTGACGGTGTAGTGATGACTCTGTTGACAAGTTGTACCGTGACGGTGTAGTGATGACTCTGTTGACAAGTTGTACTGTGACGTAGTGATGACTCTGTTGACAAGTTGTACCGTGACGGTGTAGTGATGACTCTGTTGACAAGTTGTACCGTGACGGTGTGCGTGATGACTCTGTTGACAAGTTGTACCGTGGACGGTGTAGTGATGACTCTGTTGACAAGTTGTACCGTGACAAGTGTGTAGTGATGACTCTGTTGACAAGTTGTACCATGACGGTGTGGTGATGACTCTGTTGACAAGTTGTACCGTGACGGTGTAGTGATGACTCTGTTGACAAGTTGTACCATGACGGTGTAGTGATGACTCTGTTGTCAAGTTGTACCGTGACGGTGTAGTGATGACTCTGTTGACAAGTTGTACCAAGGTTGTGACTCTGTTGTCAAGTTGTACGTGACGGTGTAGTGATGACTCTGTTGTCAAGTTGTACCGTGACGGTGTAGTGATGACTCTGTTGTCAAGTTGTACCGTGACGGTGTAGTGATGACTCTGTTGTCAAGTTGTACCGTGACGGTGTAGTGATGACTCTGTTGACAAGTTGTACCGTGACGGTGTAGTGATGACTCTGTTGTCAAGTTGTACCGTGACGGTGTACCGTGTTGCGGACGGTAGTGATGACTCTGTTGACAAGTTGTACCATGACGGTGTAGTGATGACTCTGTTGACAAGTTGTACCGTGACGGTGTAGTGATGACTCTGTTGTCAAGTTGTACCATGACGGTGTAGTGATGACTCTGTTGTCAAGTTGTACCGTGACGGTGTAGTGATGACTCTGTTGTCAAGTTGTACCGTGACGGTGTAGTGATGACTCTGTTGTCAAGTTGTACCGTGACGGTGTAGTGATGATGACTCTGTTGTCAAGTTGTACCGTGACGGTGTAGTGATGACTCTGTTGTCAAGTTGTACCGTGACGGTGTAGTGATGACTCTGTTGACAAGTTGTACCGTGACGGTGTAGTGATGACTCTGTTGTCAAGTTGTACCGTGACGGTGTGACTCTGTGATGACTCTGTTGTCAAGTTGTACCGTGACGGTGTAGTGATGACTCTGTTGTCAAGTTGTACCGTGACTCTGTAGTGATGACTCTGTTGTCAGTTGTACCATGACGGTGTAGTGATGACTCTGTTGTTACCGTATGACTCTGTAGTGATGACTCTGTTGTCAAGTTGTACTGTGACGGTGTGGTGATGACTCTGTTGTCAAGTTGTACCGTGACGGTGTAGTGATGACTCTGTTGTCAAGTTGTACCGTGACGGTGTAGTGATGACTCTGTTGACAAGTTGTACCGTGACGGTGTGGTGATGACTCTGTTGACAAGTTGTACCGTGACGGTGTCGTGATGACTCTGTTGACAAGTTGTACCGTGACGGTGTAGTGATGAATCTGTATTTCATGCAGGTCAAGGATGGAAGTATCTCCGACAACGTGGCTTTGTCCACCGCGACATCAAGCCGGGGAACATATTGCGGGATGAGAAGCCAGATTCTAGGTATGTATGACAATCTGATTGCCGACCAGGTTGTACTAGTATGAGAAGCCAGATTCTAGGTATGTATGACACTCTGATTGCCGGCCAGGTTGTACCGAGATGAGAAGCCAGATTCTAGGTATGTATGACAATCTGATTGCCGGCTAGGTTGTACCGAGATGAGAAGCCAGATTCTAGGTATGTATGACACTGCCAGCTAGGTCTGTAGGATATTCTAGTATGACAATCTGATTGCCGGCTAGGTTGTACCGGGATGAGAAGCCAGATTCTAGGTATGTATGACACTGATTGCCGGCTAGGTTGTACCGGGATGAGAAGCCAGATTCTAGGTATGTATGACACTGATTGCCGGCCAGGTTGTACCAAGATCAACCACGTCATCACGGGCTCATGTTCACCGTATCGCTTGGATCGGTTTGAGGGACCCTGACTGTTTAAAGCCTCCTGTCTACGTACTTAAACGTTAACTAGGCAATGTTGGTGTGTTCGTGTTACAATAAAGTGTAATACTTAAAGTTTAATTATTTACAGAGTTTTTCCCTTGCAGTGTGGTCTACAAGCTGGCTGACTTTGGGGCCAGCAAGAGAGTTGACAAGGACAATGGCGAGTTTATGTCTCTCGCTGGCACCGAGGAGTATCTGGTACGTCTTAATCGATATCCTCTGAAGTCATGGTGTTTAGAACTAGTTTAGGGAGGATGTGACGAGGTGTGCATCTATCTTAAATTCCCCGTGAAGAGGAAATATTGCTGGAAGCGGCGTAAAATCTACAGTCCTTCATCACACAGCTTGCTTGAGGCATCACACAGTGGCGTAAATGATCGCGGTGCATTTGTACAGCCATAAATTATATCTTTTGTCCATGGGACGGGCAATTTGATTGTCAAACATCACTAGTTACTTATCGCCCCTCTGCCATGTCTGACTGGAAAAATTGCTAAAACACTGAAACATTCTCTTCATGAAGTCACTGATTGTCTCTGTCAGCTATATACAGGAGATAATGCAGTATGATATCTGCAGATTTTAAGCATTCCTATCATCATCATCATCATCATCATGATGTTTATTACTGTCGTCAGCATCCAGCGATGTATGAAAAGGCCTTCATGGGTAGCGGTGGCAATACGGTGTTCAACGAGTCCGCAGATCTCTGGAGCCTCGGCGTCACCATCTACCACGCCTGCACCGGCGACATCCCCTTCAAACCTTACGGCGGCGTCCGCAAGAATCGAAGTGTCATGTGAGTGTCATGTAATGTGCAGCAGACCTAGACAACTCACAGTGACAGCAGTGTAGCGGCAGCTGAATGTGTAAATCAGTGTCTGCTAGTTGTAAGTACTGAAAGCCTTCAGGTCGATGCCCACCTATCAGGCTACGTTATGCTGGCGGTGGATAGTGTATACATGGGACCGTGACAGCGTATGTTTGGTCATGTTGTAGGTCCATGATAATCACGGTATGTTTGGTCATGTTTAGGTCCATGATAATCACGGTATGTTTGGTCCGTGTTTTGGTTGGTGATAATCACGGTATGTTTGGTCATGTAGTAGGTCCATGATAATCACGGTATGTTTGGTCATGTTGTAGGTCCATGATAATCACGGTATGTTTGGTCATGTTGTAGGTCAATGACAATCACGGTATGTTTGGTCCATGTTTAGGTTGGTGATAATCACGGTATGTTTGGTCATGTAGTAGGTCCATGATAATCACAGTATGTTTGGTCATGTTGTAAGTCCATGATAATCACGGTATGTTTGGTCATGTTGTAGGTCCATGATAATCACGGTATGTTTGGTCATGTTGTAGGTCCATGATAATCACGGTATGTTTGGTCATGTTTAGGTCCATGATAATCACGGTATGTTTGGTCATATTGTAGGTCCATGATAATCACGGTATGTTTGGTCATGTTGTAGGTCCATGATAATCACGGTATGTTTGGTCATGTTGTAGGTCCATGATAATCACGGTATGTTTGGTCCGTGTTAATCACGGTAGGTTGGTGATAATCACGGTATGTTTGGTCATGTAGTAGGTCCATGATAATCACGGTATGTTTGGTCATGTTGTAGGTCCATGATAATCACGGTATAATTGGTCATGTTGTAGGTCCATGATAATCACGGTATGTTTGGTCATGTTGTAGGTCCATGATAATCACGGTATGTTTGGTCATGTTGTAGGTCCATGATAATCACGGTATGTTTGGTCCGTGTTTTGGTTGGTGATAATCACGGTATGTTTGGTCATGTAGTAGGTCCATGATAATCACGGTATGTTTGGTCATGTTGTCATGGTCCATGATAATCACGGTATGTTTGGTCATGTTGTAGGTCCATGATAATCACGGTATGTTTGGTCATATTGTAGGTTCATGATAATCACGGTATGTTTGGTCATGTTTTGTTTAGGTCCATGATAATCACGGTATGTTTTGTCCGTGTTTTAGGTCCATGATAATCACGGTATGTTTGGTCCGTGTTGAAGGTCCATGATAATCACGGTATGTTTGGTCATGTTGAAGGTCCATGATAATCACGGTATGTTTGGTCATGTTGTAGGTTCATGATGATCACATGCAAACCACCAGGGACGATATCAGGAGAGCAACGTTCGCCCTCTGAAGACATCAGGTGGAAGAGGACGCTACCAGACACATGCAATCTGTCACCGTGAGTAACCACGTCACCCGTCACTCGTCACTGTCACCTTGCTCATTATGCTACTCTCAGTCGGATCCAGACACGACCACAAGTCACAGCGATTCAGCTGACAGCATGCACACTGCTGTGTCTTCAGATTTCCAAATGTCTCACAGCACATTGTGGATCTCAACCTGTAATGGGCCGTGGTCCAACACAATCATGTAGCTGCCTCTGTTACGGTCCTTATATACACATGTCCTTTGATTGAGCATCGCCTGAATCCATAGGCAATGTTTGAAATTTTGGCACTAACAGGTGCTCATTCCCTGGACATAGTTCACACAGCTCCTCGCAATAGTTATGTGTGGCAAGTTAACGTGTTGCGGATGGCCTGAGCATATTATGGAAAGTGCACTACAGATTGTTTGACATGACAAGAGGTAGACACATGGCAGCGGTGGAGAGTCGGGCTTTAAGATGGATCGTTATCCGACCAACGTCCCTTGGTCACATGCAGGTCTGGCATTTCGCAGGTCCTGAGCAGACCGTAACTTGAGGGCATGGCGGTTTATTGGTCTGTTGAAAGTCGCCATCTTGTACTCGTTACCGACGGCCGTTGTCGCGTATGGAGGCGTCGCGAGTATGCGTATCACCAGAAGATGATCCATGCAGGTGAAAGCTTTGATGGTGGCTCAGTAATGGGTGTGGGGTTGCTCATTGGTCTAAGTTACTGAACACCTCGATCGGTCGAGCAACATGTTGGTAACCATTCCCTTGCCAGACATCCAGTAGTCATTGATCACAACCTCCACCGAAGCATTACCATCCTCTTGTTCAAAATCTGCAGCAATTAAAGCTGGCACTCCTTGAGACATGGCAGAGGGATCCGCTACCTCGATGCTACATTGTCGGTATTCAAGGGTACTGGCAGATGTCATCCATGCAGGGTGTGGTTACACCAGGTGCTGGTGTGGTCGCCAGTGCTGGCAGATGTCATCCATGGCAGGTGTGGTTACACCAGGTCCTGGTGTGGTCGCCAGTGCTGGCAGATGTCATCCATGCAAGGTGTGGTTACACCAGGTGCTGGTGTGGTCGCCAGTGCTGGCAGATGTCATCCATGCGAGGTGTGGTTACACCAGGTCCTGGTGTGGTCGCCAGTGCTGGCAGATGTCATCCATGCAAGGTGTGGTTACACCAGGTCCTGCGCCAGTGCTGGCAGATGTCATCCATGCAAGGTGTTACACCAGGTCCTGGTGTGGTCGCGAGTGCTGGCAGATGTCATCACGACAGTCATTCTTGGAGAACTGTGTGACAATCAGATCGGTGGCGTAATCATGTTGACCATATTATCCGGCATTAGTCCCTTGGTGTTCACGTTTTTGTGTAGTCCTCTCAAATTGCAAGTAAGTTGTTACCAAATTTCATTTTCAGTTTTATTTTTGCTTTAGTCAGAAAAATATGTTACTGTTACAATTTAAATATGCGGCATTTGGTTTTCACAGCATACACAGCTTACAGAGAAAAGTGGGTGGTGCTTGATTTTATGTGCATAGATGCAACTTATGTTTTTACTATTTTGAATAGCGGTAACTCTGGACCCAGAGTTCATGATGCAGACTGATAATACAACTTGGATATGCTGACTGATTGCAGGGCTATTCGAGAGGGGACGGCGTCGATTATAGCTGGTCTGTTAGAAGCAGATCGGAATCGGCAGTGGACGTTCCAGACACTGGAGAACTCTGTACAGCGGCTGGTCAGTCTGAAGAAGTTCACAGTAATCAGTGCTGAAGATGCGGCACTCCACAACATCTATACCTCACGATCACCTAGGTAGGGGCCCATGCCAACAGATGCAGCTTGTCTATAAATCTCCTTCTATGTTTAGGAGAAAAGGGGTTGGCAAGAGGAGAAAGCGGTTGGAAGGAGAGGAGAAGGGGGGTGGCAGGAGATGGGGAAAGGGGTTAGCAGGAGATGGGTGGTTGGCAGGAGATGGGGGTTGGCAGGAGATGGGGGTTGGCAGGAGATGGGGAAAGGGGTTGGCAGGAGATGGGGGTTAGCAGGAGATCGGGGGTTGGCAGGAGATGGGGGTTAGCAGGAGATGGGGGAAAGGGTTGGCAGGAGATGGGGAAAGGGGTTGGCAGGAGATGGGGGTTAGCAGGAGATCGGGGTTGGCAGGAGATGGGGGTTAGCAGGAGATGGGGGGAAAGGGGTTGGCAGGAGATGGGGAAAGGGGTTGGCAGGAGATGGGGAAAGGGGTTGGCAGGAGATGGGGGTTAGCAGGAGATCGGGGGTTGGCAGGAGATGGGGAGTTAGCAGGAGATGGGGAAAGGGAGTTGGCAGGAGATGGGGGGTTAGCAGGAGATCGGGGTTGGCAGGAGATGGGGGTTGGCAGGAGATGGGGAAAGGGGGTTGGCAGGAGATGGGGGTTAGCAGGAGATCGGGGGTTGGCAGGAGATGGGGGTTGGCAGGAGATGGGGAAAGGGTTGGCAGGAGATGGGGAAGAGGTTGGCAGGAGATGGGGGTTGGCAGGAGATGGGGGTTGGCAGGAGATGGGGAAGGGATTGGCAGGAGATCGGGAAGGGAGTTGCCAGGTGGGGAGAAAGGGGTTGCCAGGAGAGGAGGTTGAAGAGAGAAGCCAGTTGATATCATTTCGACCAACACCGTATATTTATACATTATTTTTCTGGCAATTTCTGGAAAGAAATCGTCTGTCACTCTGCCTTCCTAGCGGCAGTTCCGAGATATTGCGTGTTCTTCAAGGATTCTACTTTACTGATGAAAAGTTAACGGTAACCAGCAAGTAGTGTTGCATGTATGGGGGTCATGTGATTTCCTAATTTCTAGACCTACGTAGTCTTGACGTTATTGTATGCTTGTGCTTTGTGTCCCAGAATACTGGAGTTCGAATCATTCAGTCCATAAAAATCGTTGCCAATATGTCATATGAGAATATGATTTAAGTGTTCAGTGAGATGTTTCATCCACCTGGTGTTGGGGAGCGGTGGCTGTTCAGTGCCTGTTCTGGAAATGGAACCATCTAAGGTTTTTTAAACATTTTTGTTGTCAGCATGTCCGAGCTTCAGGAAGCCATTGCCATGGTGACGGAAGTTCCAGCTCCGCACCAAATGCTCTTCCATCGTGACCAGCGCCTGTGGGAAGTGGTCAGTACTAGTTATCCGTTGACATCAGTCAACGCAGACGAAGAAGAACCAGTCATCCTAGTCAACAAATACGAATCCGAGGAGGACAGTCGCTCCAACCGTGCTCTAGGTACTTCTCCGTGTAGTTACCACGAACCATGTTACGTCAACTTCAGATAGTGCTCAATAATTTCCGTAGTATATTCCAGCCATACCAGCTGTAAACTCACTTAGCAAACATGAGCTGTATAAATGTGGATTGTTCTGTTTTGCCAGATCAACCATCAACGTTTGGAGCCCGTCCATCTCTAGATTCCGACATGAAGACAGCGTCTAAACTCTGTGTGTTTGTGTTCCGCCTCCTCCTACAAGTGATCGCCTCAGCCAGGGTGGAGAAGGGTCAGCAGCGAGCTAAGCTGTCACTGTGGTAGGAACTTTCATCCCACTCGTCCCATCACCAGTTGAATACAATCGATAATATCGATAAAACACTCTCAGTATCTATGGACCACTTTCAAACAGTTATCACACCAGGCTTTCCGAGATCAGCAGTACATGTGAAACAGATCAGGTGACGTCACTGTTACGGTGTGCTCACCACCCCTATGGAGGCTGGGCCACTCGGCGCCGATCATGTTGGTGACGTCACTGCTGCGGTGTGCCCACCACCCCTATGGAGGCTGGGCCACTCGGCGCCGATCATGTTGGTGACGTCACTGCTGCGGTGTGCCCACCACCCCTATGGAGGCTGGGCCACTCCGCCGATCATGTTGGTGACGTCACTGCTGCGGTGGGGAGGCTGGGCCACTCGGCGCCGATCATGTTGGTGACGTCACTGCTGCGGTGTGCACACCACCCCTATGGAGGCTGGGCCACTCGGCGTCGATCATGTTGGTGACGTCAGTGCTGCGGTGTGCACACCACCCTATGGAGGCTGGGCCACTCGGCGCCGATCATGTTCTGGGATGTTTGTTTGAGCATGTTTCTCACTGTGTGTGAAAAGACAGACATATTAAGGAGATCCATCCATTTGGGTTTCATTACATGTTGTCTTTAACATCCTGTGTGATTGGTTTCTGTATATGTTTAACGTGTGATAATTTACCTAACGAGACATGCAAATGTTTCAACAACTCCGCCAGAAAGGGTACCCCTGTCTGTATTCATGTTTCAACAACTCCGCCAGGAAGGTACCCTATCTGTATTCATGTACCCCGCCAGAAAGGGTATCTGTATTCATGTTTCAACAACTCCGCCAGAAAGGGTACCCCTATCTGTATTCATGTTTCAACAACTCCGCCAGGAAGGTTACCCCTATCTGTATTCATGTTTCAACAACTCCGCCAGAAAGGGTACCCCTATCTATCTGTTTCAACAACTTCATGTTTCATGTTTCAACGACTCCGCCAGGAAGGGTACCCCTATCTGTATTCATGTTTCAACAACTCTGCCAGAAAGGGTACCCTATCTGTATTCATGTTTCAACAACTCCGCCAGGGAAGGGTACCCCTATCTGTATTCATATTTCAGGTCCTGGAAATATTTGTTTACAAAAGGTAGAAAAGTTCCGGGTTTTGTCCGAAAACGTGCCAAGAGAGGTTGTAAGTCCCGCTTCGAAATGATGAGATGTTACGAATCGACAAGGAAGGAAATCAGCCGTGAATCCAACACGACTATAACACAGAACACAAGCACAGCGAAACAGTTGATATTTACAGTAGGTGTACGCTTAGCCGATAGGATACTTATATATACTACTGAACACAAATTATATAGTGACAACATAACGATGGCGTCGCCGTGTTGTGCGTGTGATTCTGTGCCAGGAAACCAGTAGCCATAGTACATACTGGACGGGCAATATAAACACCTAAATCCACTACACGTCATTTTAGAAAATATTGAGAAGTTATATATCGGTAATAACATGGTTTGTGTGAGAGAAGTCACTTGAACGTATTGATTCTTTGAGTGCTATAAATGGATTTTATTGTTTCTCAATGAGATGTTTATGAAAATTCTGACACTTTTAATACAATCACTGATACCAAGTCACGTCAGGTTGCTGTGCAAGTAAATCCTGTTGTCATTAGTCACCTTCTGACGTCAATGTCAGAGAATAACCAGTCTCCGCCGAAACACATTCCACGTCAGTGGCTCAACTGACAAACACCACCTCTTCTCACTTGTTAATGACAGTAAAGTGTGGTTGATAGTAGGCACTGTGCATATGATCCTTGGCACGAGTCTGGGGTTCGAGCCTGGCAACGAGGGGACGCGACTTTAACACACAATATATACTGCATTCAAGCACGGCTATACGTGTTCTGGCGGAAGTTAAATAATTATATTTCTTCAGCTCTGGAATATATTGTTTTCTTCTCCAGATCCATCGGAAACTTTGTCTGCTGAAGAAAGAAATATGTACTTTTAGAAAAAATCTGAACGAAGATTTCGATTTATCGGCCATGAACTCAGGGAGTTTGGATCAATCTGAAAGGTCCTGACATTTATATTATTTAGTTATTGCATCAGCTATAGTTACATTAACTCAGACGGGTTTCAGGAGCAACAATAATTCTATAAATGCATATAGATCATCTCTTCCTGCGTTGAACAACTTTTATATCTGCTCGAGGAAAGAATGTAACTGTCAAATCACTGTTTGACCAAAGATTGTTCTGTAGTCATAATAATTTCTTCACTGTGCATTTCAACTTTATAGTTTTGTATCGTTTCAGTCCCAATACGCTGAAAAGCATGTTTGAAGAAGCAAAATCTATTTTACGAAGAATCCGAAGCAGGAAAAGTTCGCTTCCGCTGTCGGAATGTGAAGAACTTATGCACAAGAAGGACAGGTGAGTTGTAATGGCACAGGAGAATAGAAAAACAATTTGGATGACTATGGGATTTTTGGTACGTGTATATTTCTTGGGTGTAATTCATTCCTTGGAAACGCACCCTTCATTCAAGAAAATCGAGATACAGAAACAGTGTAACGGTATTGGTCATGTGTGAGGCATCATCCGTCCACGTACTTGTATATACATACAAGTGTTAAAAACTCTTTCTTTCTACTTGTCGTAAAATACTCATGACGAGATACAATAAACTTCATGGACTGCATTTATTGTGTATAAATAATTGCTATGGAGCAGATAGTTGTCATAACAAGAGTAATGGCCATTCACGGATTTTAGAAATCAAGGATTCCTGTTGAAAGTGGCTGTTAAAAGATTGGGCTTCACCCATCGTTGAAACACGAAGCCAAATATCACACATCCTCTACATCAGGTCTAACCAAACACAAAACACCCTCATTTCCACATTTCTGTTACAGAATCACACATCTCTACATCAGCACCTCCACACACACGCATCACACACTCTGCCCAGCAGACTGTGGTAACATTAATCTGTGTGTCTCCCTCCACACCCCACATACATCACACACCTCACACATCCACACACACACACACACGCATCACACACCCTCTACTACATCACACACACACGCATCACATCCACACACACACACGCATCACACATCCCTACTACACCTCCACACACACGCATCAGCACCTCCACACACACGCATCACACATCCTCTACATCAGCACCTCCTCCACACACCCATCACTACATCAGCACCTCCACACACACATCACACATCCCCACATCAGCACCTCCACACACACGCATCACACATCCTCTACATCAGCACCTCCACACACACACGCATCACACATCCTACATCAGCACCTCCACACACACGCATCACACACCCCCTACATCAGCACTCTACATCAGCAATCTCCCCCACGCACACGCATCACACATCCTCTACATCAGCACCTCACTCCCTCCACACACACGCATCACACATCACATCAGCACCTCCACACACACGCATCACACACCTCCTACATCAGCACCTCCACACACACGCATCACACACATCCCCTACATCAGCACCTCCACACACACGCATCACACATCCCTCTTACATCAGCACTCTCCACACACACACATCACACACCTACATCAGCACCACACACGCATCACACATCCTCTACATCAGCACTTCCCACACACACGCATCACACATCCCCTACATCAGCACCTCCACACACCAATGCATCACACACACACGCATCACACACACGCTTCAAGCATCAGCACTCACCTCCACACACACACATCACACATCCATATCAGCACTCTCCACACACACGCATCACACATCCTCTACATCAGCACCTCCACACACACGCATCACACATCCTCTACATCAGCACCTCCACACACACACGCATCACACATCCTCTACATCAGCACCTCCACACACACGCATCACACATCCCCTACATCAGCACCTTCCACACACACGTATCACACATCTCCTCTACATCAGCACCTCCTCCACACACACGCATCACACATACCTCTCTACATCACACATCCCCTCCATCACACATCCTCTACATCCAGCACCTCCCACATCACACACACGCATCACACATCCTCTATCAGCACTCACACACACACGCATCACACATCCTCTACATCAGCACCTCCACACACACGCATCACACATCCTCTACATCAGCACTTTCCACACACACGCATCACACATCCTCTACATCAGCACCTCCACACACATCACACATCCCCTTCTACATCAGCACCTTCTACATCACACACCTTAAGCCAGCACCTCCACACGCATCACACACCCCTACATCAGCACTTCCACACACACGCATCACACATCCTCCTACATCAGCACCTCCACACACACGCATCACACATCCTCTCTACATCAGCACCTCCACACACACGCATCACATCCTCTACATCAGCACCTCCACACACACGCATCACACATTGTCCTACATCAGCACCTCCACACACACGCATCACACATCCCCTACATCAGCACCTCCACACACACGCATCACACATCCTCTACATCAGCACCTCCACACACACGCATCACACACCCTACATCAGCACTCCTCCACACACACGCATCACACAATCCCCTTACATCAGCACCTCCACACACACGCATCACACATCCTCTACATCAGCACCTCCACACACACGCATCACACATCCTCTACATCAGCACCTCCACACACACGCATCACACATCCTCTACATCAGCACCTCCACACACACGCATCACACATCCTCTACATCAGCACCTCCACACACACGCATCACACATCCTCTACATCAGCACCTCCACACACACGCATCACACATCCCTACATCAGCACCTCCACACACACGCATCACACATCCTCTTCACATCAGCACCTCCACACACACGCATCACACATCCTCTACATCAGCACCTCCACACACACGCATCACACATCCCCTACATCAGCACCTCCACACACACGCATCACACATCCTCTGGATCCCAGACTACAAACGGATGCAAATAAATGTACAAGATCATGATGCTGTACCTATATATCTTTGTTTGTGACGTACTTAATTCCTACTTACTCAGTGGTGTCCTTGGTTTCCAGGAGGGACTTAGAACAGCTGTGCCAACAAAGCATATCTTCCTGGCAGAACCACTACATGTGTCACAAACACCCATCACATCTCAAGTTCAAGAAATTCAAGAGGTAAATTGACAAGCATGATGAAAAACATAATTGTCTTGAAATCTTCACTGTAAATAGAAGCAAGCACGACAGGTCTAGGACATGGTCTGTGACAATACCCATTTCAGTCCCTGGAAGCATTGTTCTCTGATGTAAAGCGGACATTATTCCAATTTCTACAACTGTTAGCATGAGACCGGGACGAGCATATAAAACATTATCTGCATATAATCATCTCTGTGTAGTATCTGGCAATGACGTAGTATGTTGTGTCGTTCAGGGTGTATCTGGAGCATCAGGAAAGGCTGCTACATTTCCACAAGATGCTCGAGGATCTAGAGTTGGAGAGTACAGTTTTTACTGAAAAACTTAATGAGGTAACTAATTACTTTCCTGCATGTTGCCAGACCAGCGGGGGGTGAGCTGTCTGGAAGTCACTGTGATGCCAGACCAGCGGGGGTGAGCTGTCTTGAAGTCACTGTGATGCCAGACCAGCGGGGGTGAGCTGTCTTGAAGTCACTGTGATGCCAGACCAGCGGGGGTGAGCTGTCTGGAAGTCACTGTGATGCCAGACCAGCAGGGGGTGAGCTGTCTGGAAGTCACTGTGATGCCAGACCAGCGGGGGTGAGCTGTCTTGAAGTCACTGTGATGCCAGACCAGCGGGGGTGAGCTGTCTGGAAGTCACTGTGATGCTGAAACATTCCATGTCCTTGTTTTACTCTCAAATCACGTGACAACAACTTATAGACTGTGATTTACACCGTGGCTTTATAAACAGAGGGAAGAAAAGTTTTCTGAATTGACATCTTCTTTCAGTTGCTTGATAACGGTGTCATCATCTACACCTAAACGTCGCATCTACTGCAACAAACAAGTTGTCAGTGCATAACACGAGTTCTTCATCATCATAGCTTCTGAATGCCACATAAAAAGAACATATGTCACTTTTAACTTGAAATGTATATTTCCAATTGTCATGCTCTAATCTATTTAACATATCACATTCCATTTTAACGTTCCTTTACAAAAACGTAGGACCCTCCCTAAACATAAGGATAGTAATTATATAAGTAGACTCTGTTAAGCCACTGACTTAGCGTGTTTGTGTTGCAGTTTGGACAATCGTCGGACATTGCTTGGAGACATATAGCTTCAAGTATTGCCACGTTGTTTCAGTAAGTAGACTTCGTGGTTGACAGGTGTATGGGTTGTGGCTAGTTACGTCACAGTGTAATATGGACCCGTGGTTGACAGGTGTCTGGGTTGTGGCTAGTTACGTCACAGTGTAATATGGACCCGTGGTTGACAGGTGTATGGGTTGTGGCTAGTTACGTCACAGTGTAATATGGACCCGTGGTTGACATGTGTCTGGGTTGTGGCTAGTTACGTCACAGTGTAATATGGACCCGTGGTTGACAGGTGTATGGGTTGTGGCTAGAATTACGTCACAGTGTAATATGGACCCGTGGTTGACAGGCGTATGGGTTGTGGCTAGTTACGTCACAGTGTAATATGGCCCCGTGGTTGACAGGTGTATGGGTTGTGGCTAGATTACGTCACAGTGTAATATGGACTCATGGTCGACAGATGTATGGGTTGTGGCTAGTTACGTCACAGTGTAATATGGCCCCGTGGTTGACAGGTGTATGGGTTGTCGCTGAATTACGTCACAGTGTAATATGGACTCATGGTCGACAGATGTATGGGTGGTGCCTAGTTACGTCACAGTGTAATATGGACCCGTGGTTGACAGGTGTATGGGTTGTGGCTAGTTACGTCACAGTGTAATATGGACCCGTGGTTGACAGGCGTAGGTTGTGCCCTAATTACGTCACAGTGTAATATGGACCCGTGGTTGACAGGTGTATGGGTTGTGGCTAGTTACGTCACAGTGTAATATGGACCCGTGGTTGACAGGTGTCTGGGTTGTGGCTAGTTACGTCACAGTGTAATATGGACCCGTGGTTGACAGGTGTATGGGTTGTGGCTAGTTACGTCACAGTGTAATATGGACCCGTGGTTGACAGGTGTATGGGTTGTGGCTAGTTTCGTCCTGTGTAATATGGACCCATGGTCGACAGGTGTATGGGTTGTGGCTAGTTACGTCCCTGTGGAATATGGACCCGTGATCGACTGGTGTATGGGTTGTGTCTAGTTACGTCACAGTGTAATATGGACCCGTGATCGACTGGTGTATGGGGCTGTGCATGTTTGCTAGTTACATCAGAGCGTAAGTTCTGCCTGTTGATGGCAAAAGGTTACGACAGGGCGTTACAGGGACCATGGCAGACAGGGGGTGTGTGGTGTGGGGGTGAGGTGGGGAAGAGATAGTTGTGTGACTGGACCTGTGTTTGAAAGTAGTGTGGGTCATACCCATGATTTAGGGTTACCGAAAGTTGAGAACTACTTGAACCTTGCATCAGTATTGTCTTTCTCCAATATCACACTTTCATACAACTTTAATACAACTTTTATACAACTGTACCAATAGTGTACAACACATGTTAGAACTCACTCACTCATTTGTAGGTGTGATCCATCTCCGCGTCCACAGCACAGCGTCAGGCACCTGACAGAAGAAATGCGAAAGCAATAAAAACGGTTTGTTATTTTTTTTTCAATAAATAGTTCCATTGACGTGAATATACCTTTCCTATAAAGTGTCTCCGTTTTCTAGTTCATTGTTTGGATCTTGATCAGCTTAAACATCTTTTGGGCGCATGTTGGAACATTAGGCTTATATTTTATAGGTAGCCATTGCCCACTCATTTCCAGGGCTGCACAGCTGAAATGGCTGCTTACGTTAGTATGTTGTTATACCGTCACTGGGTTCTCTAAGCATATGCTGGTTGCTTTCCTCAGTATCTGGGCATGAATAATTACTTCAATCTCCGGAAATCCAAAACAAAGTACAGGAAGAAATTTGAAATCCTGGTCGCTTCAACAGGGAAAATGAAATTGAATGTATGATGGTAGTTCCGAGCTGTGTTCCCCAGACAAATGACGAGTAAGCCTCGTGGAGCCAGTCGGTCTTCACAACTAATCACGTGTACTTGGTTAATCCTGTCGTTGTACCACAATGCCTACAATGATGTTCACGATGTCAGTCACTGGGATATCTAATCAAGGATGAAATGTATTGAAGGAAATCGGTCCTAGACCTTGATTATTGCCCTAGTTAAACAATTAACATGACAGTAGCAGGAGGTTTGCCAACCTACATTACTAAGAGTACATGTTCATGGACTGTTGTTGTCTTTGTAGGTTTAGGGACCTTATGGACCATCTACCTGAACTGGAGGTGCTTAACATTGATGTCTAAATACATATCGACATGCGTGTGCTTTAGAAGGACTAAGACATATGGACATACAAGAGCCGGGCCTTGTTATCGTGGCGCATATGTTATATTGTGTGTGTAATGTGGAGTGTTGGAGATGCTGACATATATACAAACATTGTGTTGGCTGGACATATGTAAACTCAAGTGCTATGCAAAAAAGCAAATCTGTGATATACTCTGCTGACAACAGGTCAGTGAGTCTGTGTACGTCAATCTGTGAAACACTCTCCGTCAGACAATAGAAGTGTGACGAGATAAGTACATCCCGAAGCAGCTTTGTCACGTGATGTCTGGATATCGCAACAAAGCAAAGCTACAATAACAAGGGATGTACGGATCTTACCGTAATACACAATGTATTGGCCTACAAACATCAACAGGGTTATCTGCCATGGAACCGTATCAAGATCCATCCTAAACTGTGCATTCATAGCCCGACCTTGGAGGAAGACAGTCAGCGAGAAGCGTGACCTGATACAGGATCAGTGCTTGGATATTGGATTTATGGCTGAATCCTGGGTTAAACCAAATGGCGATGGAGCTCTCAGAAGAAATAACGCATGTTGGTAGTTGTATCATCGGCATCTCATGATGCATTTATTCATCGTGTAATAGTCTGACGACAATGGTTATGATTCAGATCCATTTTGATTCAACCTCTGTAAATGTCTATGATCTCAAAAGCTCTGATTTCTATGGTGATGATCTTTTGTCTGATAAATAATGTGAATTATAATGTTTTACATTAATAAAAGTGCATACACCTTTCTCATCTTGTCAGCCACATTCAAAACTGGACACACTTTGGACAGGATTTTACTTGACAATAGTTCCTTACCTCAGATGTCCGGGTAGATGTCTTGCCCTTTCATTATCAAGATGGGCTGAAAAAGAAAAGATAACGAGAAAGTTTAGACAATTTGTCCAAACACAAAATCAACACTAGTCATTTCAGAAACCTGGAGTGTCTGCATTTGTAAGAAACAGCAACTGAGGTCAATGACCTTTCTGAATTGTGTAATGGCATTGACGGGTCCTCATAACCAACACGCATCTGGAACTAAAACGTTGGTAACTGAAGGAGTTCTGACTGGTAAGATCAATGAATTCTGAGTGTTTGTGTCGTCATGCAGTCAGCTCTGGTATAAATGGCAGCTGGAGGTGAAGAGACAGATCTCCAGATGGGCTACAGACACTCCAGAAAGTGCTATGTCACATCTTAGTCGTGTCATTAGACATCAGATTTCACAGGAGGGAATCTTGAACGTTTCAAGTCATATAAAGACCAACCATTGCCTGAACGTGAGAGTAGAGGGAATCTTGAACGTTTCAAGTCATATAAAGACCAACCATTGCCTGAACATGAGAGTAGAGGGAATCTTGAACGTTTCAAGTCATATAAAGACCAATCATTGCCTGAACATGAGAGTAGGGGGAATCTTGAACGTTTCAAGTCATATAAAGACCAACCATTGCCTGAACGTGAGAGTAGAGGGAATCTTGAACGTTTCAAGTCATATAAAGACCAACCGTTACCTGAACATGAGAGTAGAGGGAATCTTGAACGTTTCAAGTCATATAAAGACCAACCGTTACCTGAACGTGAGAGTAGAGGGAATCTTGAACGTTTCAAGTCATATAAAGACCAATCATTGCCTGAACGTGAGAGTAGAGGGAATCTTGAACGTTTCAAGTCATATAAAGACCAACCGTTACCTGAACGTGAGAGTAGGGGAATCTTGAACGTTTCAAGTCATATAAAGACCAACCGTTGCCTGAACGTGAGAGTAGAGGGAATCTTAAACGTCTCAAGTCATATAAAGACCAACCATTGCCTGAACATGAGAGTAGAGGGAATCATGAACGTTTCAAGTCATATAAAGACCAACCGTTACCTGAACATGAGAGTAGGGGAATCTTGAACGTTTCAAGTCATATAAAGACCAACCATTGCCTGAACGTGAGAGTAGAGGGAATCTTGAACGTTTCAAGTCATATAAAGACCAATCATTACCTGAACGTGAGAGTAGAGGGAATCTTGAACGTTTCAAGTCATATAAAGACCAACCATTGCCTGAACGTGAGAGTAGGTCATATAAAGGGAATCTTGAACGTTTCAAGTCATATAAAGACCAACCATTACCTGAACGTGAGAGTAGAGGGAATCTTGAACGTTTCAAGTCATATAAAGACCAACCATTACCTGAACGTGAGAGTAGAGGGAATCTTGAACGTTTCAAGTCATATAAAGACCAACCATTGCCTGAACGTGAGAGTAGAGGGAATCTTGAACGTTTCTTGAGTCATCATAAAAGACCAACCATTACCTGAACGTGAGAGTAGAGGGAATCTTGAACGTTTCAAGTCATATAAAGACCAACCATTACCTGAACGTGAGAGTAGAGGGAATCTTGAACGTTCAAGTCATATAAAGTCAACCATTATAACGTGACCTTGAACGTTTCAAGTCATATAAAGACCAACCATTACCTGAACGTGAGAGTAGAGGGAATCTTGAACGTTTCAAGTCATATAAAGACCAAATTGCCATTGCCTGAACGTGAGAGTAGAGGGAATCTTGAACGTTTATAAAGACCAACCATTACCTGAACGTATAAAATCTTGAACGTTTCAATCATTAAAGACCAACTGAACATGAGAGTAGAGGGAATCTTGAACGTTTCAAGTCATATAAAGACCAACCGTTACCTGAACGTGAGAGTAGAGGGAATCTTGAACGTTTCAAGTCATATAAAGACCAACCGGTACCTGAACGTGAGATTATGGGGAATCTTGAACGTTTCAAGTCATATAAAGACCAACCATTACCTGAACGTGAGAGTAGAGGGAATCTTGAACGTTTCAAGTCATATAAAGACCAACCATTGCCTGAACGTGAGAGTAGAGGAAATCTTGAACGTTTCAAGTCATATAAAGACCAACCATTACCTGAACGTGAGAGTAGAGGGAATCTTGAACGTTTCAAGTCATATAAAGACCAACCATTGCCTGAACGTGAGAGTAGGGGAATCTTGAACGTTTCAAGTCATATAAAGACCAACCGTTACCTGAACGTGAGAGTAGAGGGAATCTTGAACGTTTCAAGTCATATAAAGACCAACCATTGCCTGAACGTGAGAGTAGGGGAATCTTGAACGTTTCAAGTCATATAAAGACCAACCGGTACCTGAACGTGAGAGTAGAGGGAATCTTGAACGTTTCAAGTCATATAAAGACCAACCGGTACCTGAACGTGAGAGTAGAGGGAATCTTGAACGTTTCAAGTCATATAAAGACCAACCATTGCCTGAACGTGAGAGTAGGGGGATCTTGAACGTTTCAAGTCATATAAAGACCAACCATTGCCTGAACGTGAGAGTAGAGGGAATCTTGAACGTTTCAAGTCATATAAAGACCAACCATTGCCTGAACGTGAGAGTAGAGGGAATCTTGAACGTTTCAAGTCATATAAAGACCAACCATTGCCTGAACGTGAGAGTAGAGGAAATCTTGAACGTTTCAAGTCATATAAAGACCAACCATTGCCTGAACGTGAGAGTAGAGGAAATCTTGAACGTTTCAAGTCATATAAAGACCAACCATTGCCTGAACGTGTCCGTTACCTGAACGAGACTAGAAATCTTGAACGTTTCAAAGTCATATAAAGACCAATCATTGGAGACCAACCATTGCCTGAACGTCTTGAACGTTTCAAGTCATATAAAGACCAACCATTGCCTGAACGTGAGAGTAGAGGAAATCTTGAACGTTTCAAGTCATATAAAGACCAACCATTGCCTGAACGTGAGAGTAGAGGGAATCTTGAACGTTTCAAGTCATATAAAGACCAACCATTGCCTGAACGTGAGAGTAGGGGAATCTTGAACGTTTCAAGTCATATAAAGACCAACCGTGAGAGTAGAGGGAATCTTGAACCTGAAACGTGAGAACGTGAGAGTAGAGGGAATCTTGAACGTTTCAAGTCATATAAAGACCAACCATTGCCTGAACGTGAGAGTAGAGGGAATCTTGAACGTTTCAAGTCATATAAAGACCAACCATTGCCTGAACGTGAGAGTAGAGGGAATCTTGAACGTTTCAAGTCATATAAAGACCAACCATTACCTGAACGTGAGAGTAGAGGGAATCTTGAACGTTTCAAGTCATATAAAGACCAACCATTGCCTGAACGTGAGAGTAGAGGGAATCTTGAACGTTTCAAGTCATATAAAGACCAACCATTACCTGAACGTGAGAGTAGGGGAATCTTGAACGTTTCAAGTCATATAAAGACCAACCGTTACCTGAACATGAGAGTAGAGGGAATCTTGAACGTTTCAAGTCATATAAATACCAACCGGTACCTGAACGTGAGAGTAGAGGGAATCTTGAACGTTTCAAGTCATATAAATACCAACCGTTACCTGAACGTGAGAGTAGAGGGAATCTTGAACGTTTCAAGTCATATAAATACCAACCGGTACCTGAACGTGAGAGTAGAGGGAATCTTGAACGTTTCAAGTCATATAAAGACCAACCATTACCTGAACGTGAGAGTAGAGGGAATCTTGAACGTTTCAAGTCATATAAAGACCAACCATTGCCTGAACGTGAGAGTAGAGGGAATCTTGAACGTTTCAAGTCATATAAAGACCAACCATTACCTGAACGTGAGAGTAGAGGGAATCTTGAACGTTTCAAGTCATACTAAAGATCAAACATAGGGAACATGTGACCACCAAAGACAACAAATCAGAGGACATTGGACGATCTTTTTAAATTGTCCCCCCTTGACTACCTGTTTGGTTCGCTCATCAAGCCGGTCGATCCGGGTATCTTTGGTAATTGGTAAAACACCGGTCCCCACATATCCAGGGTTGCAAACACAGTGGCTCTTAGATGACGTACTCAATAGCTTATTTGAAGACATTCTGAGTTTCCGAATGCCGTCTGTGTTGAGAACAGCAACCCTGAAGAGTACTCAGCTTTGATGACGCCGCCAGCTGGCCTGAAAAAGAAACAGAAGGCTTTCTCTTTCCTGCACAGAGACAGTCACTTCCGTCAAATTAAAAAACCCGTCAAATTGTGACTGACGCTCTCACTCACCACAAAACAAGAGTAATAATAATCTGCCATACATATATTACCGGTACTCGGGTAGTGCTTGTAACTCTGATGGAGTTAGCTACATAGGTGCCACCGACGAAGTCAGCATTCTTCTCCAAGCCTATTAGTCCACTTCTGTAATCTTCCTCGCCTGCCCTACTCATACATTCTACATCAGCCCTTATAAAGATAGGTCTCTTCCTCGCCTGCCCTACTCATACATTCTACATCAGCTCTTATAAAGATAGGTCTCTTCCTCGCCTGTCCTCCTCATACATTCTACATCAGCTCTTATAAAGATAGGTCTCTTCCTCGCCTGTCCTCCTCATACATTCTACATCAGCTCTTATAAAGATAGGTCTCTTCCTCACCTGCCCTCCTCATACATTCTACATCAGCCTTTATAAAGATAGGTCTCTTCCTCGCCTGCCCTCCTCATACATTCTACATCAGCTCTTATATAGATAGGTCTCTTCCTCGCCTGCCCTACTCATACATTCTACATCAGCTCTTATAAAGATAGGTCTCTTCTTCGCCTGCCCTACTCATACATTCTACATCAGCCCTTATAAAGATAGGTCTCTTCCTCGCCTGCCCTACTCATACATTCTACATCAGCCCTTATAAAGATAGGTCTCTTCCTCGCCTGCCCTACTCATACATTCTACATCAGCCCTTATAAAGATAGGTCTCTTCCTTGCCTGCCCTCCTCATACATTCTACATCAGCTCTTATAAAGATAAGTCTCTTCCTCGCCTGTCCTACTCATACATTCTACATCAGCTCTTATAAAGATAGGTCTCTTCCTCACCTGTCCTCCTCATACATTCTACATCAGCTCTTATAAAGATAGGTCTCTTCCTCGCCTGTCCTCCACATACATTCTACATCAGCTCTTATAAAGATAGGTCTCTTCCTCGCCTGTGTTTATTATAGAATTAAACACATTCTTTCGCTTTGGCATACTGACATTATACACATCATGTATGGAGGGAGAGTTCCCTCAGTTTACCTGACGTCATCTAACTAAAGCAATCAGATATTCATCATTTAGAACTGCCTCATGTCTCAGCTACCAGCCCAGTGTCTGGACAAAGCAAAAACGGTCCCTGTTACAAGTGCAAAGGGAAGTGGAATATTTTTGTCAATATTGTTGCTTGCCTGCAGAGGAAACAGTCGCCAAGTAGCGGGATGCACCACAAGGAGGTGGTTCTGTGTTCAGTCACTGTCGGATGTTAGCGGGACCAGCTTCACACAAAGAAATGGTAACAGTAAAAAGGGCATCACTTTTAGTCACGATCACCTCTGGAGGCCTTCTGGGGGAGCGGGACCCCGATCAATGCCCTGAGGGTATTCAGTGAGCATCTCGGTCATAAGAGACGGAGGATTTACAAATCACACATTTACAACTTCCAGAATACACACATGAATAATCAAACAGCTGCACCCGTAAAATCAACTCCATTCATCAAACAGCTACACCCATAAAAACAACTTCATTCATCAAACAGCTGGACCCATAAAATCAACTCCATTCATCAAACAGCTGCACCCATAAAATCAACTCCATTCATCAAACAGCTACACCCATTAAAACAACTTCATTCGTCAAACAGCTGCACCCATAAAATCAACTCCATTCATCAAACAGCTGGACCCATAAAATCAACTCCATTCATCAAACAGCTGGACCCATAAAATCAACTCCATTCATCAAACAGCTTCACCCATAAAACCCATAAAATCAACTCCATTCATCAAACAGCTACCCATAAAATCAACTCCATTCATCAAACAGCTACACCCATAAAATCAACTCCATTCATCAAACAGCTTCACCCATAAAAACAATTTCATTCATCAAACAGCTTCACCCATAAAATCAACTCCATTCATCAAACAGCTACACCCATTAATCAAATCTTCATTCTTGAATCAAAGCTGAAGTCGCGAATCAGCTAGATTCATGAATCACAGCTACACACATAAATGAAACCTATATTCATGAATCAAAGCTACACTCATGAACCAAAGCTACATTCATGAATCACACCTTTACACCTGAATAAAAACTTTCAAGAATTATTTGTCAGACCTAATAAATATATTGTGGCATATATTTTTCTTGTTTTTCATTCCTACTGCAGGTTTTCATACCTTTGTTTTTATACCTTCTTCAGACAGGTAGGAATGCATACAGACACACACTCGTGAATCAGAACCACGCCCCTAAATCAAAGCAATAACCATGTGTCAAAGCTACACTCATGAATGAACCCTTCACTCAAGAAGGGCTCATGTGGTTAGTGTGTACATCTAAAAGGAGAACCAACTTACCTTGGCCAGAGCTCCATATATTGTCACACATCGACCATGTCCAGGATATCCTTGGACGGGCGTATATCACCAGCAACAACCACCGATCTCAGCGGGATAGAAAGCAACGATAGTCTGAAGCTGAACTAGCAGCAAACCATCACCAAAGAAGACTGATATTTGTGTAGTTATAATGGTCTCAGACAAAACCCCACTTTGCCATATTCCTTTATCACAAATACTAGCATCAATTCCCTATTCAAGAATGGTGTTCGTTCTGTAACACAAGTAGGTAGTTGTGTAGGTGTCGGGTAGGTAAGTAGGTAGGTAGGTAGGTAGATAGATAGATATGTTATGAGTAGGAAGGTAGGTTTTGTAGGTAAGTGGGTAGGTAGGTAGAGAGAGAGAAACGTAGGTAGGGAAGCAGGTAGGATGGTAGGTAAGGTGGTAGACAGGAAGATAGGTAGAGAGAAAGATAGGTAGGAGGCAGGTAGGATGGTAGACAGGTAGGTAGGTAGAGAGAAAGGTAGGTAGGAGGCAGGTAGGATGGTAGGTAGGATGGTAAACAGGTAGGTAGGGAGACAGGTAGGATGGAAGACAGGTAGGTAGGTAGAGGGAAAGGTAGGTAGGTAGGCATGTAGGATGGTAGACAGGTAGGTAGGGAGGCAGGTAGGATGGTAGGTAGGATGGTAGACAGGTAGGTAGGTAGGTAGGCATGTAGGATGGTAGACAGGTAGGTAGGGAGGCAGGTGGGGTGGTAGACAGGTAGGTAGGTAGAGAGAAAGGTAGGTAGGGAGGCAGGTAGGATGGTAGACAGGTAGGTAGGGAGGCAGGTAGGATGGTAGGTAGGATGGTAGACAGGTAGGTAGGTAGAGGGAAAGGTAGGTAGGTAGGTAGGCATGTAGGATGGTAGACAGGTAGGTAGGGAGGCAGGTAGGTAGGGAGGCAGGTAGGATGGTAGACAGGTAGGTAGGGTGGCAGGTAGGATGGTAGAGAGGTAGAGAGGAAGGTAGGTAGGGTGGCAGGTAGGATGGTAGACAGGTAGAGAGGAAGGTAGATAGGTAGAGAGGACGGTGTGTAGGTAGGTAGATATGGTTGAATCAAAATAAGATGTACATATGTAACACATTGAACTGTGTATTTGATATCTGTATTTGTGCATTGTGAGTTTCTAGGTATGATGGAACTGGTTACGGTGGTGTTAAAGTCTTATCACGTCACGGTAAACACCCGGGTTGGATTTCCCACATGGGTACAGCATATGAAACCTGCACCTGGTTCCCCCCACCATGGGATTGTCTGAATATTGCTGAAAGGTGTTTACCAAACAGCCCTACTAACCCTCCACACAGCAGTAGATTTAATTAATTAGGATAAATGGATGGCAAGATCGATGATGATGACGGACTGGTGGACTGGAAGTAAGAGAGGACAGTGGGTGGTTGGAGAAGGTCCAGTTTCCTACATAAACATGGATAGATGCACGCTGTTGTCAACAAACCTGGTCACGTGAGCCACAATAGGAGGGTCAAGCTCGAACAGGACATCATATTTTCCTCTGTTTCGTGATAACGCCAGCATTTCCCCCGTCTCCCGGCCATATGTCGCCTCGTCGCTTCTATCAGCGCCATACATCAGCATGTGAGACGTATCGGACGCAGTAGTCACAATGAAGTTCACCATCCTAGAAGTTGGATTTCTTCTCGGTAAGATTAGCGCTTATCAGTTGTACATTGTCAATACAGGATTCTAATCCACTGATTGACAACATCTGTAACTAGTTTCCTGGACTTACAAGCATACATGTGTCATGTTGGTTATATATACCTTCAGAAAACACATGTATACTCATATACAGGTGAATAGCTGGTTTCACATATCTACAAACATACATGTGTCATGTTGGTTATATATACCTTCAGAAAACACATGTGTACTCCTATACAGGTGAATAGCTGGTTTCACTTATCTTCAAACTTACATGCATGTGAATAGCTAGTTTCACATGACTATACATTTACATACATTTGAATGCTACTTTCACATCTATGCATGTATACATTTGTGTACCAACGTACACACATAATCACGAAGAGCAAGTTAGATGTACACACACGTATAAACGTGCATAGCTAGTTTAGTATACTTAAATATACACGTACGTACACAACTACTTTAATATACCTACATAATTGTGTGTAGTTTGTTTCATGTATCAACATATATACACATGAAAAGCTAATAAAGCGTATATAGTTTCATCTTGTATAGCTCATTATGTATATACTCACATATATACACATATAGAGTTTCGTATATCTACATATATACACGTGTGTAACTAATTGTATACTCACATATATACACGTAGTTTCATATATCTACATATATACACGTGAGTAACCAATTATATACTCACATGTATGCAAGTGTATACCAAGATGTTATATCTGATTACAAATACACTTGGTTATAGCTGGTTGTCAACCTAGTTGATAGGGGTGTGTAATTGCGAGTATTTACCACAAAGACTAAGTTTAGACTTAGATAGAAGTTTAGACTAAGATAGAAGTTTAGACTAAGATAGAAGTTTAGACTAAGATAGAAGTTTAGACTAAGATAGAAGTGTGGACTCAGATAGAAGTGTAAACTAAGATAGAAGTTTAAACTAAGATAGAAGTTTAAACTAAGATAGAAGTTTAAACTAAGATAGAAGTTTAGACTAAGATAGAAGTTTAGATTAAGATAGAAGTGTGGACTCAGACAGAAGTGTAAACTAAGATAGAAGTTTAAACTAAGATAGAAGTTTAAACTAAGATAGAAGTTTAAACTAAGATAGAAGTTTAGACTGAGAGAGAAGTGTAAACTGAGATAGAAGTTTAAACTAAGATAGAAGTTTAGACTGAGAGAGAAGTGTAGACTCAGATAGAAGTTTAGACTAAGACAGAAGTTTAGATTAGGATAGAAGTTTAAACTAAAAAAAGAAGTGTAGACTCATAGAAGTTTAGACTAAGATAGAAGTTTAGATTAAGATAGAAGTTTAAACTAAAATAGAAGTGTAGACCCATAGAAGTTTAGACTAAGATAGAAGTTTAGATTAAGATAGAAGTTTAAACTAAAATAGAAGTTTAGACTAAGATAGAAACTTAGATTAAGATACAACAGGTGTTTGAAACTGGCGTCTTTTTTCTGTTGAGTCTTTTTGGCTGACATCACGCAGCCTGATAGGACGACGACGACGTTTTCGCCACGGTATCAACAGCCGACATTGTCTGTCCTTGCTGCAGTCTTCGAAAACGCGTAGTAAATCCTAAGATTAAATCGATCTAAACAATATATTAGATGGCACTTCTACCACATCTCATAATATCACACAAGGAATTCTCCGTGAACAGAGGTCGAGCAGCAATAGCCTCCCATATGAGCACTTAAGATACGGCTCCTTGGAGTATTGTAGAGAGGGCAACACGAAACTTCCTGTGAAAATAATGTGTGGTACGCTAAACCTCGGCATTGATCTGATCATGACTATACAACACGACGGGAACAGGGTCGCCATATTGAAACGGGGAACGGGGATGGGGAGACGAGGTGGAGGAGAGTTAACATTCAAGTATAATACACATACATGTGTAGGGAATGAAATTCCGGGTTTTGACATATTTTGAATGTTCATATTATTGATAGTTGGACGTGTAAAGATAAAGTGGATTTCATTCCCCATACCTCTTTTACATAACATACAAGTTCTCTTATGTTTACACCTATTTTAACACCGTTATTGATCAATTAGTTGTGACATCATGTCTATACTTTCTATAAATTTGAATGAAATATAAATTCTAAAAAATATTCCAAAATACAAGGTTTCTAATGTGTGAAGCCAATGTTGTCTACAGTGTCTAAATTTAAAAGCATATTGACGGTTATTTTCGGTAAAAGTTGTACGTGCACATTTATTTTTTTTCATTTAGGAATTAATAACATTAATTGTCTTTCCTTGAAAACACCGTTTTTCATGCAAAGATGTGGGTCACCCTCTTCTAAATACTACCAATCTCACTCTTTTTCCAAATTAACCGATATAACTACCTTCTATTACTATAGTTTTTGCAACATATTCAGTTGAGTTTGCAGTCCAAGAATAAAGTATGACACCAGTAATACATCGTTGGCAAAGAGAATTAAGAAGTTCTAAAAAGTTAGGGATCATTTGGGCATCGTGTTTACCACAATTAAGAATTACAAAGTACGTTTGTTTGATAAAGAAGGAGAAGAGAACAGGGCTAAGGATGCATCCCTAGCGAAACCCATTCAGACAATGAAAATAGTCGTGGACACCTATCCACAACGAACACATTATTTAACATTTTTGTACAGAGCCTTCAAGATGGATAAATACATTTCGCCGCTCATTCCAACCTTATGAAACGTTGCCATACTTTCGTTCGATTCACAGTCAGATTCATTTTTATTAAATCTACAAATATATTTTATGTCTTTGTAATGGTGACTTTATTATCAAAGCATAAAAGGTAAGAATGTGGTCAGTAATTGAGTAGTTATTCCGGAAAGCAGTCTTTGATTCCGGGAGTTTGTCTCGAATATTTGCCAAAAGTGAAAAAACACTCATTAGTGAGATACCCAGATAAGTTATCTGAGCGATTTTTGTCCCCTCTCTCTTCTGCAACGCGATTATAACATAGGAAGCGAAGGAACTTGAAAAATACCTGTGTCAAAAACATATCTAAGGAATGATCTTACATCCTTTCTGCCAAAATATTGTCCTGATCTCGAGACGTTCTTAATTTCAAATAGTTAAAAGGCTTCAGTTATCTTACTTTTACGTATGACCGATTCCAGTTGAAAGGAGAGATTTGAAATGCGAAAACCACATTTATTCGTTGTTCGAATACCTGTCAGGATTTTTTTTGTTTCCGAAACTGGGATGGCTTTATCCTTTCAGTTTTGCCTTTATCTAAACTAGCCTTGTACTTTCTGCATCACGTTCCTTTTCTACAAGTTAAAACTTCAAATACGTCTGTAGGGCATTTTCAAAACATTATCCAGGCTTGGGGGCGTCCCACTTAGCAGCCTTGAATTGTGGAGATAAATATGATTTCTTAGAACCATTACGTGCACATTCATTCTCTTTTTCATTTTAATCTGCAAATTCGATTAAAACATCAGCATTTTCTCTATTGCTTTATTATGGTTCAAATAAATTTGACTAAATATAGAAAAATGATTACAGGACATTCTTTATAGTGACATGCATACATGAATATGCGATTTAATAATAACTATTAAGTAAAGTGACTATAATGAGACCAAACCCAATTGTTTTCTGAGCAATATTCATCACTATCAGTTTAATACTTTGCTGTAGTAAATATAGTTGTGTAAATTATAAACTATGTCAGATGGTATTTCCAAGTATTTCAGTTGTAATATTGGCACCCGTCAAGGCCACAGATCTTCATAATCTTTATAAACAAACTAGAAAAAATAATGAAAGAATGCGGTGGGAGAGTTGTGTTTATTTCCCAAACATTTGATAACCTACGTAATCTCATGTTTGCTGATGGTGTGTCTTCAGTAGCCAGCTCTTACCTAGATTTGCAGTATAAGATCTATGCTTTGGAAAACTTCTGTGATCAAACTGGAATGAAGATAAATGTGGATAAAACTAAAATAATGGTATTTCGCAATGGTGGTCCACTTCAATCATATGAAAAATGGTATTTTCAAGGAAAACGAGTAGATAGTGTTTCCTCATATAGATATTTAGGACTTGTATTCACTCCAAAATTATCTTGGAGCAAGGCGCAATTTTGTCTCCGCTCACATGCAAACAAAGCTATGATGTCAATTTACGGGTATTCTAAGAGGGTTGGAGGTATGCCATATAAGGATTTACTAAAGATATTTGATAGTATGGTTGTGCCAATTATGTGTTATGGCTCAGAATTATGGGATATATACTATAGTAAAGATGTAGAAAGAGCACAGTTGAAATTCTGTAAGTGGATTCTTAGAGTTGGTGTATCTACATAAGATAATATGGTATTGGGGAATGTGGGCGTTTGCCTCTACAGCTGGTATACCTGACCAGAGCAGTTAAGTACTGGTGTCAACTAATTACTCTACCTCCTAGCAGGTTACAAAACCAGTGTTATCACATGCTTATGCCCCTTGATAATGTAGGCCGTACTACTTGGGTCACACACATCCGAGATATCTTATTTAGATTTGGGTTTGGTTTTGTCTGGGTTTCCCAGCAGGTTGGTTGCATAAAATCTTTCATCTCTTTATTCAGACAAAGATTATCAGATAATTTGCAACTGTCATGGATTTCAAGCTTAAGCACTTCCTCCAAGTGCAACTACTATAGACAGTTCAAATCATTGTTAAACGTAGAATCATATTTGCCAGGTGATATTCCTTATTACTTAAGATCTTCAATGGCTAGATTTAAATGCCAAAATTACGGTCTTGCTATGGAAACCGGTAGATACAATAGACAGAATTTAAGGATAGGGTTAGTTTATTTTGTAAATTTAAGAAAAAATATTTTATTGAAGATGAGTTACACATACTGTTTGTCTGTGAAACCTATGATATTCTTTGAAAGAAATATATATATACCCGTTTATACCTTATGTTAAATCTCATTATGTGTCGCAAAACATGGTGAATTTACTGA